TTTCACTTATGGATATCAGCCAGGCGGTCATTAGTATTAAACCAACTTAGGCCAAAAGCCTAAGCTTGGGGGAGTACGTATTTCTCATCGACTCTACATTCATGTTCACACACTAGTCGTCGGTGCTCACACTCTTTCATTGTATTATCCATGCTAGTTTAAATTTCTTTTTCTAGTTTTCTTCTTGTGTGTTTGATAAACTTAAGGAAAACCAAAAAAATAGTTAGTTTAAATTCTATGCATTTATTAAAATGAAAAGCCAAAAAGATTTCTCGTTCTTCTTTTACTTGTTGGGAGCTTTCCCATGTAAATAGTTTGATTTTTTTCTTTCTTTTGGGGGTCGAGAAGACCATATTGAAAATGCTTAGTGGCTCTTATTATGCATAATTGTTTATTTAACTTAGAGCCCATATTACTTGTCTTCTCTTTTGAGTTAAATGCTCCAGATTCCAGCTTAGTCCAATGCACGTGCACTCTTATTATTATACACATCATTCGATTGTGTAAGTGAAAGGCAATAATGACGATATATGATGGACTTATTGGGATGAGAAAAGCTGGTGTGAACTCGACCTCTTTTGTTTTTGTAATATGATGATTCATCATTCCTGAGTCAGCTATTGTGAAGTAAACATATTTGCAATGACATTTAGAGATTATAGTTGCTTGTGCCATGCTTGATTAGCTTTGAGTTATAATGGTTTACCTTGCGTGCCAACATGCTATTAAAATGATTATGGTGTGGTATGATGGTATGGTATCCTCCTTTAAATGAATTGAGTGACTCGACTTGGCACATGTTCACGCATGTAGTTGAACCAAATCGACATAGCCATCATGATATTTATGTTCATGGTAGATTATATCCTACTCATGCTTGTACTCGGTGTAAATTAATTTTAATGCATGTTTACGACTGTTGTCGCTCTCTTAGTTGGTCGCTTCCCAATCTTTTGCTAGCCTTCACCTGTACTAAGCGGGAATACTGCTTGTGCATCCAAACTCCTTAAACCCCAAAGTTGTTCCATATGAGTCCACTATACCTTCCTATATGCGGTATTTACCTGTCGTTCCAAGTAAATTTGTATGTGCCAAACTCCAAACCTTCAAATGAAATTCTGTTTTGTATGCTTGAGAAGCTCATGTTTCAACTAGGGCTTCCTATATCTTCCATGCTAGGTGGGTTATTCTCAAGAGGAGTGGACTCCGCTCCTCATTCACGAGAAAGGGCCGGTAACCGGGATGCCCAGTCCCATGATCTAAAAAGATCAAAGCAAATCAAAATAATTAAACAAAACTCCCCCAGGGCTGTTGTATGTTGGAGGCACTCATTGTTTCGAGCAAGCCATGTATTGATGCTTGTTGGTGGTTGGGAGAGTATAAACCTTTACCATTCTGTTTGGGAACTACCTATAATGCATGTAGTATGGAAGATACAACCATCTCATAGTTGTTGCGTTGACAGCAAAAGTATACCGCTCAAAATGTTATTCAATCTCTATTTTAAAATCGAGCTCTGACACCTCTACAAATCCCTGCTTCCCTCTGCGAAGGGCCTATCTATTTACTTTTATGTTGAGTCATCATCCTTCTTATTAAAAAGCACCCGTTGGAGAGCACACTGTCATTTGCATTCATTATTATTGGTTTATATTGGGTATGACTTGACTGGATCTCTTTTATCATGAATTACAATGTTTAGTAAGTCCTTGATCTTTAAAGGTGCTCTGCATTTATGTTTTGCGGTCTCAGAAAGGGCTAGCGAGATACCATTTTGTTATATCATGTTATGATTATTTTGAGAAAGTGTTGTCATCCGAGTTTTATTATTATGGCTCGCTAGCTGATTATGTTATTGATATGAGTAATTGTGAGACCTATGTGTTATTGTTAGTATGGTTAGTTCATAATATTTGCTGAAACTTGAATGCTGGCTTTTCATGTTACAACAACAAGAGCAACAGAGTTTGTAAAAGTTTTTCTTTATCACTTTCAGTTTATCAACTGAATTGCTTGAGGACAAGCAAAGGTTTACGCTTGGGGGAGTTGATATGTCTCCAACGTATCTACTTTTCCAAACACTTTTGCCCTTGTTTTGGACTCTAACTTGCATGATTTGAATGAAACTAACCCGGACTGACGTTGTTTTCAGCAGAACTGCCATGATGTTGTTTTATGTGTAGAAAAGGAAAGTTCTCGGAATGTCCTGGAAATCCACAGAGGCACTTTTCAGAATTAATAAGAATTTTTGGCGAAAGAATCAAGGCCAGGGGGGCCACGGGCTGTCCACGAGACAGCCCCCCCCCCCTAGGGCGCGCCCTCCTATCTCGTGGGCCCCCTGGACACCTCCCGACCTCAACTCCAACTCCATATATACCGTCCCGAGGAGAAAAAAATCAGAGAGAAAGTTTCATCAAGTTTTACGACACGGAGCCGCCGCCAAGCCCTAATCTTTCTCGGGAGGGCTGATCTGGAGTCCGTTCGGGGCTCCGGAGAGGGGGATTCGTCGATGTCGTCATCATCAACCATCCTCCACCACCAATTTCATGATGCTCACCGCCGTGCGTGAGTAATTCCATCGTAGGCTTGCTAGACGGTGATGGGTTGGATGAGATTTACCATGTAATCAAGTTAGTTTTGTTAGGGTTTGATCCCTAGTATCCACTATGTTCTGAGATTGATGTTGCTATGACTTTTCTATGCTTAATGCTTGTCATTAGGGCCCGAGTGCCATGATTTTAGATCTGAACCTATTATGTTTTCATGAATATATGTGTGTTCTTGATCCTATCTTGCAAGTCTATAGTCACCTATTATGTGTTATGATCCGACAACCCCGAAGTGACAATAATCGGGATACTTCTCGGTGATGACCATAGTTTGAGGAGTTCATGTATTCACTTTGTGCTAATGCTTTGTTCCGGTTCTTTATTAAAAGGAGGCCTTAATATCCCTTAGTTTTCATAAGGACCCCGCTGAACACGGGAGGGTAGGACAAAAGATGTCATGCATGTTCTTTTCCATAAGCACGTATGACTATTTACGGAATACATGCCTACATTACATTGATGAATTGGAGCTAGTTCTATATCACCCTATGTTATAACTATTGCATGAGGAATCGCATCCGGCATAATTATCCATCATTGATCCATTGCCTACGAGCTTTTCACATATTGTTCTTCGCTTATTTACTTTTCCGTTGCTACAGTTACAACTACTACAAAAACCCCAAAACATTTATCTTTACTTTGCTACCGCTACTATTATTATCATACCACTTTTGCTACTAAACACTTTGCTGCAGATACTAAGTTATCCAGGTGTGGTTGAATTGACAACTCAATTGCTAATACTCAAGAATATTCTTTGGCTCCCCTTGTGTCGAATCAATAAATTTGGGTTGAATACTCTACCCTCGAAAGTTGTTGCGATCCCCTATACTTGTGGGTTATCACATACAATGATGCTTTTCGAGCCGATGAAACGGACCGCGGCAAGCGACGAGACCGAGACTTTGTGGCACGTCGGTCGGGGTTCTTTCCCGTGTCCGCTAGATCCCAGCGTCATTAACTTCATTCGACTAGGTCGAAGAAGATGAATGCCGCTGCATTTGGCCATCCACGCACCCCACTGCAAGACACCAAACACAACCGCAACAGCCGGCACCAACGCCACCCGAGAGAGTGTGAAGTGCCGACCATCAGACACAAATCTTACCGGATCAGAAGACCAGCAAGAAGACCGAGTCACCTGCTCCCCAATGCCGCCAATTAGAGCGCCATCGAGATGGAAGAAGAGCAGAAGCAAATTATTTTGACGCGGCGCCGTCCACACCATTGATGCAGCACCTCTCAAAACAAATCCTATGTCCCTATACCGGGCAGAAACAGCCAGGGTCCCCGCCCGCTCCCGCCCTTGGAGCGGCAGACGGAGACGGACGAGGACCCAACGTCGCCGGCGATGTAGAGGAAAGAGCAGGAGCTTCGCCCCCTGTATCGCCTCTCTGGAGCGGTTCCAGATGCGAACGCTGCGGTTTTCCGCAGAAAACAAACAATTGTTAATAGTTGGTTTTATTTCACGTTAAAATGTGTATTGCCAGAGTCCTTATTTTCAGAAAAAGACATCGTCTGAACCCAAAAAAAGGTTCAAACCTAGCCCGACTTTAAATTACCAAAATCTCGGCCAGAATTACAACTGTTAAACACATACAAGCATCAGAAAGAAATAAAAAAAGAAACCAAGGTGAAACAACCTCAGGCGACAGATGCATGGTGCAAATAAGTTTGTGCACAGACCGAATACAACACAAGCAACTACCAAGATGAACGAAAGAAATGAGCTTGATCCGTCGAGGTCTTCGTCCGCCAAAGCAACTAGCACTAGACAAGCAGCACAAAACTTGTTGGGGGCATCAATGTGAAAGGTGACAGCCCAATTACACTCCTGAATGATGAACAACATGGGCACATTGACATCCGTCCGGATTAAAAGGATGCCGCACCGTCGGAAGGCGAAGTGGTTCCCCCAAGAATCCGGATGGACGTGTGGCAACCGGGAGCACCATGGGAGGGACACGACAAGCAGATCACATTTAGCTGCACAAGAGGTCTGTCGTCTCCATTGCACGACCACGGAGGGGCCGCACACTTCAGAAAAAGAACGCGAACCAAATCGACACGGCGAGAAAGGTCGACACCGCCACATTATCGACCCTGAAGAACGAAGCCGCATAATATAATAGATAGGAGTAAACATACATACAGATGGATCAAAGCGGAATAGCGTGGAGACCCTCTCCAACAGGGGTGGATCAATACGATAGAATTAAATGTCCTTATATTATTTATAGAAAACAAAAGGAAATATGCTCGGGTGAAACACAAAATGCCACGTGATTCTAGATTATATAACATATAGTTTTTTTAATTTGTAGCAACACATGCCGTCGTTGAGCTTGTATATATAGGCAATAGCTTATATTCAACACATAGTTGTGTCTATTCGTAATGACCCTTTGGTGGAGGCGCCGAAGATGTCGTTGCGGCCGTTTTCATCCGCCACACAGTGGGTTTTTTCACGCCAGAGTCTTTGGTTGGAGTTGCCGATGGGGTCTCCACAGTTTGTTCACTCTTCTTGTGACTTATGCCTTGTAATTTCCCCTTCATGTTTTCAACTCCAACAATTTCCAATCCCTTATCTGGCAAACTAGCTCGCTCCTCCCTCTTCTTATCCAAATCCATGTTTACGGCTAGAACACTTTGCAATTTCCTTTTACTATTATTAGCAAAGGCGGTAATCTCTTTATTTATCTTATTTAATTTTTTAATCTGACCACTTAGTTTCATATTGTCATCCAAGATAGTTTTCATCTCCTTCTCTGTCTCCTTGGCTTGCTCCTCGGCCATTTTATTCTTCTCCTCTGACCCCTCCAGCTTACGGTGCAAAACTATGTTTACACCTGCAACCTTTTCACAAAAATATTTCAACTTCACTACTTGGCCCTCTACTACCTGGAGCTGATCGTTCAGTTTCCTGTTCTCAGCCACAACACTCTCCATTTCACTTTCTGCCTCCTTGGCTCGGTCCTCACCCTTTTTATTCTCATTCTCTAAAACCTCAATCTTATTGTGCAAATCCATGTTTACAGCTGCAACACTTCCTGAGAAGAAATCCAACTGTAAAACTCGGTCCTCGGCCTCCTTTTTATTAGTTTCAGATTCCTGGAGCTGAGCATTCAGCTTCATGTTGTTAGCCACAACACTTTCCATTTCTTTTTCTGCCTTCTTAGCACGTTCCTCAGCCTCCTCCTTATCTCTCTTTAACTCCTGGACCTGATCGTGTAGTTTCATGTTCTCGGACACAAAATTTCCCAAACTCCCTTTCCATTTCCTACCCAGATCCTCCATATCTTTCATTATCAGCAATGGTAGAGCTACACTGCTCTCATTGACCTGGTTCTGCGGTTCTACCTGCAAGAAATTTAATTAGGCGACAATCTGTTGGACTATCTACAAGTGCATTACGCACACATAGAAATAACGTACAATTTATTTATTTTGAACCATGCACGAGGAATGCATGTGAATAGATAGATAGAAACATAAAGTAAGATTACAAGCGACCCGAGGAGAAACAAAAACAGGCTCTCTGAAGATTACTGATCTAACGACAACCAAAGTAGAAGAGCAGTTGCACAGCAGAGCAGAAGTAGCATGTCATTAGCTAGCACCTAAATGTTCCCTACCTGCTTGTAATGACAGAGCATGCTGAAAAACCCTCCACTATCCAATACCCTGCTTGTAACTAACTGAAAAACCCGCCACTTATTTACAAACTAGAAGTTGCTACCAGGGACTTTATGTTCGCCACATGGGTGGCGTTTTAGACATAGTCTCTATTCTTCCTGGTTAACGTACATATCACTTTGAAACTACGAACAATCCTAAACTGTTGGACTGTGTGCATCTATCCAAAAAGCCAAAGAGCACGCATCTGCGTGAAGCTCTTGGTAACCTCACGCCAAAACCATGGCTCTTGGATCATCAAAGAACGGGAATTCTCGCTAACCTGAATGTCATCTACATTCCCCTTCTTGTTGTCGATGCGCGGATTATCTCTCCTCCAAATCCATGGTTTCTGAGGTTTATCTAATGACCAAAGCCCTCGGCGCGCCTTTTTCGCCTCTCTCTGCCACTGAACAAAACAATTGATCAAAATGTGAGCGAGAAACTCATGCCATATATAATTAAGGATGAGAAAATCACACATTATAGGCATTCGCCTTGGAGTTTTGACCACTGATTAATAACGAACCGGCATTATACACTAAGTTATGGGTATAAAAAATGCTTGTACGAATTATGCTGAAGATGCTAGAATGTTTTTT